AGTTGTACACTGTTGCAGTGGGGCCACAGATATTTCCAGATCACTTTTTAGTTGTAGCTTACACTGAGAGTAAAAGGTAGATGGGGATACAAGGAGAATAGATGCATCAGGGAAGTGAGTGGTGAAGCGTTTATAAACTAATCGAGAGCAGGTTAGGGTAAGATTAAACAGCTATTGGAGGATTAGATGGGTAATGAGAGCATAGGCAATGGGGGTCGAAGAATGAGGTATGGGGTAGGTTTAAAAGTAGTGGGTTGGACTGTGTGTTCAGCAGAGAAGTTTGTGGTTACAGGAAGGTGGGTGGGGAGGGAAGAGGAGCGATTTGTGGAATGATGATGTAAAGAGTGTAGTAAGGGAGAAAAAGTTGCATTTGAGGAAGTTTTTACAAAGTAAGAATGTTGACAGGAGGGTAGAGTATATGGAGAAATAGAGAGAGGTTAAGAGAGTGGTGAAGCAATGTAAAAAGAGAGCAATTGGAGAGTGGGTGAGATGTTATAACCAAATTTTGTTGAAAATAAGAAAGTTTTGAGTGGATTAAACAAGTTAAGGAAAGCCTAGAGAACAATATGGATTTGTCAGTTAAAAATAGGAGAGGAGTGTTATTAAATGGAGAGTTAGAGGTATTGGGAGATGGAGGGATATTTTGATGAAATTGTTAAATGTTGAATGAAGATAGGGAAGCTGATTTAGTGCTATGGGCGAAGATGAATAACATCTTGTAGGAGTGAGGAGAGCCAGTGTGAGTGTGGGGAAGTTCGTGAGGCAGTAGGTAAAATGAAAGGGGGTAAGGACAGCTGGGATTGATGGGATAAGATAGAAATTGTTAAAAGCAGGTGGGGATATAGTTTTGAGTGGGTGGTGCCAATTTTTTAATAAATGTATTAGGAGGGTATGGTTACGTAGGGATTGGCAGCAGAGAGCATGCATTAGTTCTTTGTTAAGGGCAAAGGGGAACAAAAGAGAGTGCAAAAAAATTATAGGGTGTAAGTTTTGTTGAGTGTAACTGGTGAAGTTGTATGGTAGAGGTATTATTGACAAGAAATTAAGATTAAGACGGAGAATAGGATAGAGATGAACAAGGAGGCTGTAGGAAAGGTAGGGGGTGTGTGGCCAGGTGTTTACAGTGAAATCACTAGTGAACGTATTTAGATTCGGCTAACTAAAGAGGTCTTTGTGGCACTTATGGATTTGGAAAAGGCGTTATATGACAGGGTTGGATAGGGGGGCCAATGTGCGGCAAGATGTTGCAGGTGTATGGTGTAGGAGGTAGGTTACTGAAAGCAGTGAAGAGTTTTTACGAGGATAGTAAGGCCTCTAGTTAGAGTATGGTAGGAAAGAGGAAATTATTTCCCAGTAGTAAAAAAGTGGCCTTAGACATGGGACTCCCCCCCCCCCCCCCGCCCCCCCCCCCTGTGATGTCACCGTGGTTGTTAAATATATTTTAGATGGGGTTGATAGAGAAGTAAATGCGTGGGTCTTGGCAAGAGGCGTGGAGTTTTTAAAAGATAAAGAATTCACGCATAAAGTGGGAGTTGTCACAGTTGCTCTTTGCTGTGACACTTGTGCTCTTTGGAGATTCTGAAGAGAAGTTGCAGAGATGGTGGATGAATTTGGTAGGGTATGCAAAAGAAGAAAAATTAAAATTGAATACAGGAAGACTAAGGTTATGAGGATAAACAAAAGATTAGGTGATGAAAGGATTGGATATCAGATTGGAGGGGAAAGGGTAGGAGGAGGTGAATGTATTCCGATATTTGGGAGTGGACGTGTACAGCGGATGGGTCTATGAAAAGATGAGGTGAATAATAGAATTTGTTGAGGGGGGAAAAAGGGTGTGTGGTTGCAATTAGGAGTCTGTGGAACAAAGAACTTTGTGACTTGGAGAGCAAAGAGGGGAATGTATGAGAGTATTATTGTTTTCCAACGCTTTATATGGGTGTGAAGCATGGGTGGATGAATGTTGACAGCGAGGAGAAAGGCTGGAGGAGGGGAGATGGTCATGTGTCTGAGGGCAATGTGGGTGTGGAATTTAATGCAGGAATTCGTTTAGTTTGGAAGTTAGTAGGAGGTGCGGATTACCAAAAACTGTTGTTCCAGAGGGCTGAGGAAGGTGTTGTTGAGATGGTATCGGACTATGTAGAGAGAATCGAGCGAAACAGAATGATTCAAGAGTTATCAGTTGTATGGAAGGAAGGGGGGTAGGGGGTGGCCTGGGAAAAGGGTTGGAGGGGGGGGGGGGTTTAAAGGGGTTTTGTGTGCGGGGGCTTGGACTTCCGCAGGCGGTGACAGTTTGATAGGGTGAAAAAAGCAAATGGTTTTTAAATACTTAGGCTGTTGGTGTGAGAAAAGTAAATTTTAGAAGAGGTTCAGGAAAACCGGCAGGCCGGACTTGGTCCTAGAGGGGAAAGTAATGCCTGCACTCTGAAGGAGGGGGGTTAAGTTGCAGTTTTTAAAAAAAATGAGTTAAAGCACCTTCTGGCGAAGTGATGGAGTGAAAAATGGTGGGGAAAGTTTTTCTTTTTTGGGCCCCCCTGCCTTGGGGGGAATCGGCCAGTGTGTAATAATAATAAAAATACTTTTAGTTCATTATTACCACTTCACAATTAGTATGTTTTACTTCTATACACTGGCCTGGAGAAACAGCAATCTGCTACACTACTGAGGTGAAATGTACTCATTGAACCTGCACCAGAGATGATCTTGGAGAATACATGATTGCACAATACCCAACCAAGAACCTAAATACCATTCTTGCAATAGGAACTGTTTACAGTTCTCCATAAATCAACATATGGACTTTGGAGAAAACCTAAAGATCCTAATCATTAGCAAAAAAACTAAATAAACACCACTTAATACCCGATGGAGACTTCAACATCAATCTCGTTCAATCAGAAGACCTCCTTTCCCTAGCAGCAAACTTCCTGAATAATATGTACAATTGTTTATTGATACCCTCAATAACTAAGCCAATAAGAATAAATGAGCCTATTGCAACATCACTTGATTACATGTGGGCAAATATTCCAGCTCCTCATATAACTGGCATAATCACAGATAATACTACTGATCACAACCACCACTTTTCCAGTCACCAACTTAACAAAATTACCCCATGAAACTAGTAAAATCTCTTAAGTTTCATGATGAGGCATCAGTGAATAACTTTATAGTGGCAACAAGCAACACATATTGGCAGAGAGAATTACTAAACTACCAAGACATTAACCCTAGTGCTCACTTATTCCTTAACAGGTGACAACAACCAGATTAAATAGCTCATGGTTAATTGACAGCATACTTAGTTTATATTACAGTAGACCATCATTTAATATGGTAGTTATGTTCCTGAAAATGCCGTTTTAGTTAAAACCATGTTAGACAAACTGAAAAACTTATGGGAAAAATAGGGTTACATTCCTGGGAGCCTCCAAAAAGCCAAACAACTTTTTTTTTAGACCAACAGATCTTACAAAAATAAAAGTGAATATGTAATTGTAGTTCATTGTCGTGATGTATTATGTTGTTTTTACTGCTTAAGATTACAAATGCAACAGAAATAATAGTATTTCTTATCTGGTGTTTGCAGACAACTGTGGAGAGTGGAGAGTTATGCTGTGGCTCTACTTGACCGAGGTGGATGGTAGAGGTTCTGGTACTGAAGTCGATGGTTGTACTGGAGTATGCATAAATTCTGTAATAGATTTCTGTTCTATTTTACCCCGCAGTACATTATACAACTGACGGTAAGGCATCAGCTGCTCTAGACACCATTTCAGGGTCCTCTTCAGTGAAAAAGTCTAACTTTAAGTCAGTCAGTAAATCAGTCAAGTCAGTAATACAGTCAGTCAGTAAGTCAGTCAAGTCAGTAAGTCAATCAGTCAAGTCAGTAAATCAATCAGTCAGTCAGTCAAGTAAGTCAGTAAATCAGTCAGTCAGTCATCACACAAACTCATATTTACCTCATTCTTTTTGTGTGTACAGTGATGCTTCATTATGGCCACAGGATATCTCTTGTTTAATATCTCTATTTTCTTCATTAATTCTAAGACTTAAACACTTATACCTTTTCTTGCCATTTTCAGCACCACTTGTATGCCTACTGGGTGCCATGACTGCTTGGCAGATTTAAGATATGGCAATTAAAAGATCTAAACTCCTAGCAGAAGATGGTACGCACTACACGCGTATGAACCGAAGGGTGGTGGGGGGGTGATGGAGGGTGGTGGAGGGTGGTGGGGGATGGCGGTATGTCTTCCCTGTTGACTATAGTCTAACCCACAGCCAAGCAGAGTATATCCCGCGGGCGACGTCCGCTCAAAAAATTTTCCCGTCCCGCAAACCGAACCGTGTTAAGTTAATTTTACGAAGTGTTATACAAAAACATGCCGCAATTCTTCAATAGTGCTATAACCAAAACGTGCCAAACAAAACCATGTTAAATGACAGATAAATGGAGATATTCAGTAATTCGATAAAAAATTCTAAAGAGTGATACATTAAGGATGAAGCTAGGTACCCGAGTTGAAGGAGTGATAAAACAAGAACAGGGGTACTATTGGATGAGGCAGATTTCATGGTTTGAAGAATTGTTCAGAATAATAAATTATTGACAGGATAATAATAAATTATTGTTGGGATCACATTAGGGTAAGGAGGTGTTTTTTAACAGTAGGTCTGAAGTGGCTGGCAGACAGAGAGGCTCTAGAATCCTCAGGTAGAGAATTCAAGATTTTAGGTCCTTTCTGAACATTGAGTTTTTACACAGGTTGAGTCAGACACTGGGAATAAAAAAGAGATTCTTGTGTCTAGTATTATGCCTATATGTTCTGCTATTAGAACTGACTGTCTTGTATATATATTATGCACAGTAGTATGTTCTGTTGCAACCATCAAGAAAGAGTTTCAGGACAGGACTGATATTACAATTGATTGTCCTATATATATAGCATGCAAAGAAGTATAAGTGAATTATATGTATATTAAGTAAAGTGGCCTACCTGTTCTATTAGGTCAACTACTGCATTATTGGTGGGTATATCAATGGGTGTCCAGTCAATGCCTTCCCTGAGGTAGTCTTCTTGTGTCTGCTTCAGAGTCACTTCCGTCAGAACCTGTGGGATTCCATACATGTCACACTTCCTCCATAATAATTTAGAACATTAAAATCCATGGCAAAAATATTGATATTTATGAAAATTTACCATCCTAAGCTTTCCCATGGTTGAAGTGTTTCAAATGTGCCTGGAGCAGTTCACAACTGATATACACTCAGAAATAAACAATGCACTATTATCAAATTGCTAATATATTTATATAGACTATATTGATACTGTTCTTCTCACTATTGCTCTGCATAATCAGGGGGCTTTCTATAAAGTATGTCAATAATGTTGCCATCTTTCTGAAACACATGTAACCATGGTTCTGAGAAATAATTTTTTATCATCTATCATTTGTGCACATACTTCCTGTAAATGATGGCTCTACACTCTGACCTCATGACTGTAGTTTTTTCAGCCCTTTCTTTTTGCTCTGAACAATGTTATTCCATCTATTAAGCTTAAAACTGAAAGGGAATATAACTCACTATACTATCTTTCTTTAGTATTCATGTCAACCCATCTATGAGTGGATTTTCTTTTCTTATTTAAAACAAGTATAAGCACAACTGCATGTATTGAACATGTATTGCTTTTCTTACTACGCACAATCTCTTATCATAAGTGTTCTTGTTTCTCTCTTCTTCAATCCCCATTGCATCTGGGATTCTCAATTTCTCAACTCTGAAAATTCAATTCTTCACAGATTTCTCATTTTGGCTATCCTCCTATTTTCATAAACTTTGTCATATCTAATGCTATAGGTTACAGATATTTTATCTTTCCTACATTTGTAATATTCAGAATTAAGATAACACTTTTTTGTTTTAATACACTGGTCATCTCCCACCGAGGCAGGGTGACCCAAAACGAAAGAAACACTTTCACCATCATTCACACATAATTAATGTCTTTGCAGAGGTGAATAGATATGACAGTTCAGATGTCACTCCAACCGGCAAATATCCCAAACCCCTTTTTCAAAGTATAGGCAATGTACTTCCCACCTCCAGGACTCAAGTCTGGCTAACCAGTTTCCCTGAATCCCTTCACAAAATATTACCCTGCTCACACTCCAACAGCTCATTCGATGTGAATTTGTTTCGTCAAACTAATACAGTAGGGCCCCACTTTCCGGTGTTCCGCTAATTCAGTGGTTTTCAATTACATCCACTGTTCATTATGTTCAGTGCTTGTTCCACCTTTTCAGCCTGATGCACTCCACAGCTGAGTCAGGGAAGGACTTCTGGAGCCATTTTATTTTTGGTGATTCAGTCCGATTACAGCATTTGTGCACTTTGCACTTAATATATGATAGTGTAAACATGTTATCAGGCTTGTATGTATGTGCATTTGAAAATAAAAAATAAAAGCTATCTTGCACTTTTCAGCAATTTTTATTTTTTTGGTGGGAGTCGGGAACTTAACCCACCGTATAAGCGAGATCCTACTGTACATACATACCTGAATAAACTTGCTTACTTACTTAACTAAATTAAGATTTGAATACAATATCCCAAAATTATTTACAAACATGTTTTTAAGCATGAACTGAATCCTTTGTTGGCAGTGTAATGATAACTTTATACTGTAAATAAAAAATAGAAGCAATAACTATTTACAATGAAGCAGTAGTAAGAATGGTGCTATTATTTGTAAGAATAACAGCTGTCCTAATGATGCTAATATAAGCAAGAATAACAGCTTACCTTGTGATGTTAATACCCTGTATCAGCAACAACATCTGACCTAGCAATGCTAATACAGTACATAAGCAAGAACATCTGATCTGGTTGTGCTAATATTAACAAAAGCAATGGCTAACCTGGTGAAGTTTCTCATTGCAGAAGTTGATAATGAGTTGCTCAAAGCTGTTGGTTTCAAGGATCTCAAACCCGAAAATATCGAGGATTCCCAAAACTTTCCTACGCCCCATTGTCTTCACCTGCAAATCAAACAACACTTCATTTGTATCCTGTGCAAGTCTGATGAATGATTTTATCCATTAAATATGGAAAAAAATCTCATTTACACTACTTTTTTCACTCACCTAGGAATAATTATGTCCTTTTAGATATACGTATATAGTATATAGCCTCTCCTCACTTAATGACGGAGTTCTGTTCCTGAGACCATGTCGTTAAACGAATTTGTCACTAAGTGAGGAGCATATTATAATGGTAGTGAGTTTGTGTCAATCATCTCTGATACTGTTCTAATGTCATCTTTGCACCATTTATAACATTTCTGGTATATTTTTATACAGTACTGTACTGTATATTGTATTTATTTATTTATTTATTTATTTAAAAATTTGTGCACACATACAGAGGTACAAAAAATACAGAAAAGAGCAGTATGCCAAAGCCACTTATACTATGCATAGCATTACGGGCTGGCTTAAAATTAACTTAAGATGAACTAAGCAATGATGACATCGGTGATAAAACTTTAATGTAATCAGATTACTATAAAGCACAAGTGAGTATTACAAAGACAGGTCATATGGTTGTATGCATTGTTGTACATTCAGTAGAATGGAGTATTCTGTTAGGTAGTGTATTTAAAAAATAATAAAGTTAGATTGGGTTTTAGGTTTAACATTTATGTGATATAATTGTGAGAAACATTTAAGATATACAATTTATAAGGTTCAGTTATTCAGTATTTATTTGGTTTTGGGTGAGTAAGTGATCTTTGAGAAGAGACTTGAATTTATAAACAGGTAGTGTTTCTTTTATATTTACAGGTAATGAGTTCCAGATTTTAGGGCCTTTTATGTGCATTGAGTTTTTGCATAGTGTGAGATGGACACGAGGAACATCAAAGAGTGATCTGTGCCTTGTGTTATGGTCATGTGTTCTGTTGAGGTTGGCAAGGAGATGTTTGAGGGGAGGGTTAATATCAGAGTTAAGTGTTCTATGTATGTAATAGGTGCAGTAATAAGTATGAATGTTTTGTATGGTGAATAGGTTTAGTGTATTGAATATTGGTGGAGTGTGCTGCCTATAATGAGAATTTGTTATCATTCTAACTGCGGCCTTTTGTTGGGTAATTAGTGGTCTGAGATGGTTACTTGTTGTTGAGCCCCATGCACAAATTCCATAGGTGAGATAGGGGTAAATAAGAGAGTGATATAGGGCCAGGAGGGCTGACTGTGGAGCATAGTACCGTATCTTCGATAGTATGCCTACAGTCTTGGAAATTTTCTTAGAAATTTGTTGTATATGTGTATGAAATTTGAGTCTATTATCAAGGTGGATTCCTAAGAATTTTCCCTCTGTTAGCTTTGTGATAGGTGATCCGTTTATCATTATGTTAAGAGGGACATCTGTAGCTCTGTTACCAAACTGAATGAAGTAGGTTTTGTCAATGTTTAGTGTAAGTTTGTTAGTCCTCATCCAGGTAGATATTTTCTGTAATTCTGTATTTACAGTATTGGCTAGCGTGACTGGGCTTGGGTGGGAGAAGACGTATGTAGTGTCATCTGCAAATAGTGTGGGTTTGAGTAATTGCGAAGCATTTGGTAGGTCATTTATGTATAGGAGAAAGAGAAGAGGGCCAAGGACACTTCCCTGTGGGACACCAACTGTAATTGGTTGTGCAGAAGAGTTTGCCCCATTTGCATACACATATTGGGTTCTGTTGCTGAGGTATGACTTGAGGTAGTTGAGGGAGTGCCCTCTTATACCATAGTGTGACAATTTTACGTGGAGCAAGTCATGGTTAACTGTATCAAAAGCTTTACGTAAGTCAATGAAGATCCCCAGTGGGACTTCTTTTTTCTCTATTGCAGTGTATATATGTTCTAGCATGTGTATAATAGCATCATTAGTATTTTTATTTGGCCTGAATCCAAATTGGCAGGGGTTGAGTATGTTTTGGGAGATAAGGTAGGAGTAGATTCGTTTATGAATTAATTTTTCGAAGATTTTTGAGAGAGGGTGTAAGTTGGATATTGGCCTATAGTTATTCAACTCTGTTTGGTCTCCTCCTTTGTGGATCGGGGTGACCCTTGCTATTTTGAGTACTGTGGGGAAGGTGGAGGATTCAATGGATTTGTTAAAGAGTGTTGCAATGATTGGTGATAGCACTTGTGACACTTTTTTGTATATAAAGGGTGGTAAGGTATTTAAATCTCCTGCCTTGTTTTTTAGCGTGTTGATAATAAGGGAGACTTCGTATGGGTTAGTCGAGCTAGGAACAGTGTGTTCGGGTAGTTGCCAGTGAGGTAGTCATTTGGTGGGGTATCTGAGCTTGGGATTTTATTGGCAAGGTTTTGTCCTATAGTGGAGAAGAAGTCATTGAGTCTGTTTGCTGTTTCTGTTGGTGGGAGTTGGGGTTCATCTGATTTTGCTAATTTTTATTTCGCTATTTCGTGATATCTTTTTTGTTCCTAGAATTTCTGATAGGGTTTTCCAGGTCTTTTTTATATCACCTCGTAAGTTGGATAATCTGTTCTCATAATACAATTTTTTTGCCCTTCTTATCAGGCTGGTTAGGATTGACGAGTAACGTTTTGTTTGGTCTCTGGTTATGTGACCCATTCTGTACTGTTTTTCATATTGGTGTTTTGTATTTATGGATTTGAGAATGCTGGGTGTTAACCAGGGACTGTTCAGTCTCTTAGCTGTCATCTGTTTAGTTTTTTTAGGGCAGTGCTTGTTATAGAGGTATTGGGTCTTTTTTAGAAAATTATTAATACATTCGTCAATATCTGTATAGATTTCTAGCTCAGTGTGCCAGTCAATGTTTGCTACTGCTGTTGTGAAGTTATTAATGGCTGCCTCATTGTGAAGTCTGAAGGTGACTTTAGTAGTGTCTTGGGGTAATTTACCAAGAGTTGTTATGAGAAAAGTAGGGTAGTGGTCTGTGGTATTATCTGAAAATTATGCCTGATTTTAAAGGGGATATGGTGTTGGTCCAGATGTGGTCAAGTAGGGAAACACTAGTCTCTGTAACTCTTGTAGGTTTTGTTACTGTTGGTAGCAACATACAGTTACTCATTGTGTTTGTGAATTCAGTAACGTGTGGGTCCTGGTCTTGCAGGAGATTTATATGAAGTCACCTGAGAGTAGTAAGTGATCTTTGTTCATGCGTGCATCAGTTATCATACTTCCTAGGTTTTGACTAAATTGGCTAATGTTTGACTGTGGAACTCTGTAAATGTTTATCAATGTGAGAGGTTTTTGTAGGTATTTGGATTTGAATTTGGCTATTATATATTCCCCATGTTCATCCCTTGTGCAAGTATTAGTGATACATTCTAGTTGGGTCTGAGTAGTATATGGCTGTGCCACCCCCTTGTTGGTCTGGCCTACAGTTGTGTATGGCTGTGTAACCAGGAATGGCATAGACATCTGTACTATCAGGCTTTAGCCAGGTTTCAGTTAGTGTAATGATGGACATATTGGCATGTAAGGAATTTAGTAATGCTATGAGGTCATCGTAATGCTTGCTTAAAGATCTGATATTGTAGTTAAAGATAGTTATGTTGTTGTTGGCACTGAGAAGTGCCTTTGATTGTTCTGCAGTGTAGTAATTACAGTAACTGTTTGAATCATTTAAGTCATTAAATAAGAGGTTGGTATCAGGATCAATGCTTGTAATCATAAGATTTGTAGTGAATCTATAGTTAGAATTAAGTATAAAACAAAGTAAATAGTCTTAAGCTAAAAAATAGCACCTGAATTATTTAACAAATGTAAAATAATGAGCTAAGGTAGTTTTGGAATATAATGGCAAAGTTGTGAACTTATTCTAAATAATATACATTATTTAGATATGAATACTGGTCAGAGAGCCCGTCGTAAGACCTAGGCGTTGGTAAACGAGTATGTCGCAAAGTGAGGAGAGGCTGTACATATATTAAATATAACTACACCCAGAAAAAGATAATTACACCATCTTAAAGGAAAAGATATCTTTTTAGAATCTATTAATACCAACCTAGAGGCCATAGCACCTACAGAGAGAGACACACCTTTATTGCTTCGTTGAGCCTGGCAACCACCCAGGTGAAGAGTCTGTTGTAGAGTGCACGACAGAGTGCGTCTCTAGTGCGTGTAGCCTCCAGTGCAGAGAGTTCTGCCATGACAGTCTCACCACGAGCCTCCACCGTTCTGGACTGCAGTGCTGCCTTCAACCACGACACCTCACATGACAGGAGCTCACTCACCTCGTGCAGCTCTGTGTGAACACCATCCTCACTGTCACTTACTTTCATTATCACTTACCTTCAACATCACTTTATCAACACTGATCTACTTTAACTGTTTCTGTCTCTTTCTGTGTGTGTGTGTGTGTGTGTGTGTGTGTGTGTGTGTGTATGTGTAGTGTGTGTGTGTGTGTGTGTGTGTGTGTGTGTGTGTGTGTGTGTTGTGTGTGTGTGTGTAGGGGAGGATTATATCCCGAGTGATGGTAATTTCTAAGTGCAGTAATGGTATAGTAATTTCAGTTCTGCTGGAAGGAAATCTTTGTAGCTGATTAACCCATAGTAGAATACTTGATATTTTCATTAACCTAATGAAGTCTCTAAGTTCAGGTTGGCACATTTCAAACTATGGTCTAACTCTTCG